TTGAATAAAAAGCCCTTTCATCTTGCTCCAATTCACCTTTCTTAATCATTCAATTTGGTTCAATAATCTAGAATGATAATCATTGAAAGTTGTGAAGAGAAACGATGAAAATAGTGAAAAAGATGATAATGATGTAATGATGCTGTCGAATCCATGAAAATATTTAAATATCCATTTAAAATGATTTAACTTTTTTTTCGTTTTCCAAACTCAAAGGCAAGCCACAAGTCGAAACAGTTTTCATGTAACTTTACCGTGCTTTTCCCTTTTCATTTAACTCTTCATTAGTGAATTTGGTTTTACACTTTCAACTAGCATGATGATGAATCAGGATGCTGATGAAAATTCCAAGAGAGGAAAGACGAACATGATTCTAAATTGAAGTTTATGGGGAAAAGTAACTGATGATGTTTAACCCATTACAATTTTTTCACCTATCTTCCATTCTCTATCATCAGTATCACCATTCAGACCTTTATCTCTCTTGATGACAATATTTATTGGTTTCATTCATTCCTCTATCGTTCCTCTTTTCACACTTTTTTATCTCATTTGACATTTCACTCTTCGTCTTTTTCAATGCATTAACGAAGGGAAAAAAAGGTTAAAATGAATTGGTGATTGACTTAATCATAAACAAGATTACAAGTTTATTTAATGTTTCAAGTGCTTTTTTGTGTTCAAATCATTTTTCGTGTTTAATTTGTTTCCGTTTCAACCATAAATCAACCTTTTTTTCGCCTTTCAGCTCTTTGATGCTTTCATGATACAATGGTTTCAATGAAGCCAAGTTATCAATGTTTTCTGGTAAATCTAAATGATTTGTTTCGTTGCATGAAAAGTGGAAAATAAATGAAAATGATTTGGTATAAAAAGAAGAAACGATTCATTACCAATCATTAATAATTTGCCTTTGTGATTCAACAAATTGAATTGATTCTTGACTCTCTCGATCTCTCGATGAAATCTTGGCCAATTCATTTAAGGCGACCATCTCATTTATAGTAATGATAACAATAAAGAGAAACAAAAGGTCACAACAATTGATCAAAAATTGTTTTTCTTTTCTTCTCTGATAATTTATATCTATTTTATTTGTCAGAATAATTCATTTAACTATTTCAGCCAAAATGCAATTTGCACTTGATAACTGATGTACATTATCATTTGATTATTGTGTTACTCCCAAGATCACTCCAAAGGTTCAATCATCCATCCAGCTAGAGCATCTCTCGATTAACTTTCATTGACATCACTAGGGTCACGCTCAGATTTGACCCAACAGTCCAGTCACAATTCAGCTTCCATTCCATCCAGTGTCAATCCGAGCATTTCTCATCATTAATCTAAATTCGAGTTACAAACAAGCTGAACCATCCCAGTCAGACAAGCTATAAGATTAATGTAAGATAATCGCAAATTTTCATTTCAACTCCCAGTGGAACTCCCAGCTCCGAGTTCACAAGGCTCTCTAGCGATCTGGGCCGATCTCATGCTTAGTCTATCGAATATATTTCGGTGTGCGATATGAAGATCAAAGTGAATTGTCTGAAATTTTGGTGAATCGAAGTAAGCACTTTAGTATTAAATATAACATTTCAATTTTGAATTCGAAGAATTGATTCCAGTTTTGTCAGAGATAGCAAAAACATGAACAAATGCATAGCGAAGTGTAAATTGTTTTTGAGCTCATTTCTTCCAACTGTTCTATGATGAGAAGATTGAATTTTATTAAGAAGACTTGGGACACCATCTTTGTCAATCGAATTCTCATCTTAACTTCAACTCGACTCCCAGTTGATATTCCAGTCGCATTCCCTGTCAAATAGCTTGAGACTCGTGTGAACTCGTCCAACTCCCTTGTGAACCTTTTGCCGGAACTGCTAGTAGAATCAAACTTTCATTCTTGATCAATGAATCTTCAGTCTCTTGTCATCAGTTTGCAATTATCGGCAAACTTATTCCCTGTCTTTTAATTTAATTTTTACCCATCAATATCATTCTTCATCTGCCTTTTTCCCTGTCATACAATATGACTCGTCTATAAATTATGGCCTGTCAAATGGACTCTCTGTCTTCTTCCTCTTCCGTATTTAAAACACTGAGCAGCTAAAAATGTTACCCAGGAAACTCAATTTGAACATTCATTGAAACGAACATGAGTTTACTTTTTATTTCAACTATCATTATTGACTCACATCAAACATGTCAGAATCACTAATCAAATAATATGCAAACCTCATTTTCCTTTTGATTTTCATCCAATTCACTCCCAGCCCAAATGATAACCAGATATCGACTATTTTTCAACAAGCCAACACTTTCAACAGCATCATGCTTTTGCTTGTTGCTCATCTAATCATCAGTTAATCTTTAAATTGAACATGACTTCAATCATGCACTAACTATTTTTGCACTTCATTCCCAGACCAAACCAGACTTTCCAATTTTCCATTTCATTTTCATACCCAACTCAGAACAACTCTGAAAGGTCATTTGACTTTATGTCAACAGTCTTGAATATGGAAATTATCATTCTTGCAAAACTAATATCCAAGCAAAATTGAAAAGAAAAAGCAAAGTGGACATTCCCATGTGAATCAGAGTCATCAAAAATAGAAATGAATAATTTTGTTGATTCAGAATGAAAAGCAAATTGTTAGAAGACAAACAATCAGTCAATAATAAAACTACAATTGTAATACAAAATAACAAGTTAAAGCACATGAAATGTTTATGCAAATACTGTAGATGTAAACACTATGTAAATGCATTTTTCAGTTGAATTCGTGACTTGAAATTCGAAGGGGAAAAAGTTGGAAACAGGAAATGAATTTGTTGAAACTTTATCAATAAAAAGTTCAGACAATTAGAAATCTTTTATTGGAAGAAAATTTTCCATTTTTTCTCATTCCATTCATTCACCTTGAAAGGCACTCAGCTAAATATACTTTTCTGTAACAAAATAAACTCAATAACCTTGAGACAATAAAACTTATCCTGCTTTTTGTTTGCATTAATCTTCAATTCATATTATTCAAGAGTTCATTTATCATGAAATATTCTTCCCTCGATTCAATACTGATTCTCTTGCCAATGACATTCAATCCAATCTTGCAAGCATTTCTTTTCCATCCAAAAACTCCGGAACTTGAATCAATCTATTTCAATGACAAAACATGAACAACCAGAAAGTGAGTGAAAAAATATTAATGAAACGAATTTCCGATAAATTTTGTTGCAAGCAAAGAGAAGAGAGAGAAAAAAAACTGAATATCAGAACTTTTTACTCAACATTTTCATGAAGATATTTAGTTATCAACATTTTTCTTTTACCAGCTTTACACCAATCAAGTGAAAAACAAGAAACAACCTGATACATTTTTATCTCGTTTCAGAAGTTCATTGGTTGTTCAATTCAAGTTTTTCTCCTTTTTTGTTATTTTCTTATTTTCTTTTGCCTTTTTTACATCAAATGAGAATCTTGATTGATGTATTAACTGCAACTATTATCAAGTGAATAAGTTGAAAATTTTGTGTGAACTTGAAAGATGATGAGAAACAGTGATAACTCGAGTAAATTGAAGACTTAATTATCTTTTGAAAAGGCCAATATTTGTTAACAAAGTTTGAAACAATTTTTCAATTTTCATTCCATTTATCATGTACTGTCATCCAAAGAAGGTTAATTATCGCAACAATATTTTCTTAAACCTTATCATGTCTAAATTGGATTTTTTGACTTCCTTTTCCAAGATTATTCCGAGAATTTTCTAGTTTCATATCAACCTCCCAGTCCAACTCCCAGCCAAACTCCCAGCCAAACTCCCAGTCAAACTCCCAGTCAAACTCCCAGTTGAACCTTCAGCTCAACTTTTATTCGCACTCCCAGCTCAACTCCCTGAAAGGTCATTATAAACACTCCATCATGTTTATTGTATGGTTCACTGATTTACTCCAATCCAATTGCTTTTCTTGTAACTTGCCTTTTCCTCATCATTTTTGGTCTTGTTAAATGAATAGTTTTTTTTTCTGTGCCAGAATTTTCTCTTTCTCCAAATTATTTTCATGAAACTTTTTTTCGCCTTGTAAGATTCTTATCCAATTTGAATATGATTTTCGTTAAATCCTGGCTTTTGCTCTGTTAGTCGATGAGTTATTCAGTGAGATGTTATATTGAACGATAAGCGGTTTTATCACATCTATTTGATGTTATTACACTGGGAATGAATAATTTAATATAAAATGTTATATTATGTTTCTATTTCTGGTATTAATCTTTATTTAGTATGTCTATGTCTTGACGTACAAAATAATTATTAACCTGAACAAAATGAACATGATTCTTATCACTTGGCTTAACTTGGAATTTCAAGATTTTCCGATTCACTCTTTTTTCTCAACTCAGTTTTACTACTTTTTTTCATCACTACATCTAATTGTTGGTTAAATTCCCAGTCACGTTGATGGATATTTTGTCTTGGTCACGGATAAATAGCAGACCAAATGATTATTATTTGCTCAAGAATAGTTCAATAGTTTTGATGATAGAAATGTTTAGCATTTGAATTGATGAAAAATGAAATGGTAAAGTTGATTTTCATTAGAAAATCAAAATTTTGTACTGAATTTCAGCTCAACTCATTCATTTGTAAAAGTCAGTTTTTCTGATGAAAATGATTTCATTATAAACGAGTTTAAATGTGAAGGTCAGGATTAGTTGATAATCTTGGTGAAGATTTTACCAGTTTGGAAATGATTTTAATTCCATTTATTAATGAGCTTAATCACACTGCAACTGATAATGAAGTTCAAATGTTGCAGTTTATTAGCTAAAAATAGTTACTTTTAGTTGCACTTAGAGATTAAAAAACTCTTATTCATTAACATTGCACTTAACAACATTGCTAATCTTCAAGCTAAACATTTCCCAATCATGATGGAAAAACTCAATTCTGCTAATCCTGATAATAATTTTTCTTTTGATTCTTTTGCAACAGAAAACATTCGTCTTCCATATAACCATAGACAAAAAGTTCTAGCCAATGGAACTTTAATCATCAACGACGTTGAACGAGCCACTGATCAGGGTAAATACACGTGTGGAGCGCGCAATAAGGAAGGTGTAGAAGCCAAGGGAAGTTTTTACGTTTCAGTTTTAGGTAAGTTCAGAACTTTCTCGTTATTCCTGTGATTTACGATTCTATCAGCACATAAATGCAAGTTAGAGTCTCACTTCAACGCATAAAATTATAGCTATCGTTAGATAACCCTCACTCTTGGTTGCATTGGATAATGAAAGATGGATGAATGAATGCAATGCGAATAGAATCATGCTGCAATGGATAAATGTTAAATGTTCACATTCACAAGTGTGATTTACTTGAACGGGTTCAGGCTGTGCTCTGAAGACAAAGTTTCACTTTCCCATTCGATTTTTAAATCAGAATCGATTGATCGATTGAAAATCGTTGGCAGTTGCGTTTGTATTTTAATACATTTGTTTGATTTAAAGATATCAAAGTCGATAAATGTTTTTATTCGATAAGGTTTTCTCAGTATCGATTTAAAATCGCGTGGTTTCATTCAGTTAAATCAATCGATTTTTAGAGTCATCAGAGTACAATTATGTTAGTCAAAATGCTGTGATAATTTGGTTAGTTTAATCATTAACATCTAATTAAAATCAATTTTATCAACCCTAATGTGCATTAAATATTAAGATCATTATTTGAGGTTGCATCTAGAAGATTTTTCAATTATGAGAATGACTTTTTAGTTAGCATTTTTCGCATCTTATCACAGCATTTTAAAACTAATGACCATTCATGATTGAATTGATTGCCAAATAGGGAATCTGCAAGTGGTTAGGAAATGTTCATTATCTGATGCTTAAGAATAAAGAGTTTTCATTGTTGTGAACAAAACTCAACTATTTTCCTCTCTTGACTACACTTTTCTTATCGTGAATAAAAATAAGAGGTTCATTTGCATTGAGATGATTGATTGTTTTATGCAAATTGTTTACCTAAGATGACATTGATCACACCATTTACTGGCAAGTTTTGTTGTCCTCGCATCTCTCACTAGTATTACAGACAAAATTTAATAAGCATTCCTGAAGTGACATGATAAAGTCAGTCTATTCTTGTACAGGGGAAGGTAAGAAAAAGAATGAAGGGAAGCAAAAATTGAAGTATTGATTTATTCAAATTACATTAACAGGTGAAGTTTTATATCAAGTACAAAAAAAGTTTCAAAATTGTGAACATTTTTTTTAAAATAAACAGGGAATTATCAAATGAAATTTTGGTTGAAAAAATCTGATTAAAAGTATGCCTGAAAAGTTCATAAATCTGAAAAAAAACTATTATAAAGATAATGGTTAAATTGAGTAAACGTTTTACTAACGTTCAGATAAACTTCATTACAGAATCAATGTTATCAACTTTTCATGCCTTTAATATCTTCACCTTTTTGTCTTACCTTAAGCCTCTTAACACTTTTCAACTGTATAGTAAACGATTAATCACAAAAATTAATAGCACTTAATTAAATGAGACTAAAAAATTTACAGCTCAGAGGAAAGCCGAGATAACTTGAGATAAATCTTGAATGGGTTTAAATTGAATGCTAAAACAGCTTACTTACAATAACTTTAATCGAGTTGATATTGCTTCAAAATAATCGATGTTTCTTTTTCGATTTAATCGATTTTGGTTAGTGTATGATCGATTGTGAACCAACATATTGAATGTCGATTATTGAGCGAATCAAGCCTAAGCTAACCTATTCAAACCTAAAAGTTTCTTTCATAAAAATCGATGCAAATCGATTCATATATCGATTTTAGTTTACGATTTTTAATTTTCGCTCCACAAAAATCGATTATTTCTCAAGCGCAAAATGCATTCTAGCGTTTAAACGTGAGAAAAATAGAGCTTCGAAATTTGAAATGCTCTGTGTGACTCATCAATCTCGATTAGAATCGTGATATTCAAGAGCAAAAAGAGACTGTTTATTTTCATAGCAAAGTTGCTTTAATCTCAAGCAACCAATATCATGAAGGCTTAATGAATCTGCATAATCACTTTTGTATAATCACTTAACAAATATTGTCTTTTTTCTAAACTTTTTACTTTTATTTTTGATTCAATCTTCACAGTTCGTCCTTTTATTGATCCGTTCAATTTTTCAAGTAACCTTCAATCGGGTCAGCGTTATAATGCTTTATGTTCAGTTACGCGAGGTGATCCTCCGATAGAGATTCGTTGGTTAAAAGATGGTCGACCGATAACTGGAGTTTCATCTTCCTCAATGGATTCAAATCCTTCATCATCTCCTCACCCATTGGGCATTGATATAATTCAAGTGAAAGATTTTTCTTCTCACCTTACCTTTGAATCTCTTGGACCAGAACACAGAGGAAATTACACTTGTATTGCAACAAATAGTGCCGGAAGTGATTTACACAATGCCTCAATGATTATTCACGGTAAGTACATTCACTCCATTACGCCAAGTGCTCATTGAGAGAGATTTCAAAGAATTTGTCCAAAAAAATAACTTGCAATGAATCTTGACTAACTAGATTCCGAGAAGAAAGTGAAATGATAAAATGAAAGTTTCACTGTGATACAGAACATGCTCAAATTAGTTCATTTCTCTAAGAAAAATTGAATGAAATTTTCATTCGAACTTCAATTGTTCGTAATTGTGGCGCTTCATTGTATCGATCTGAATCGAGATGAGGTTAGATCGGAAGAGTTTAATTTCTCGATCTTTAGATGTAAACTTTAGCTGATGAACTTTTAATGCACCGATTTCTGGATCAACATGTAATATCAATCAAGAAAATCTGTTAAATCAATTCATGGTAAACTTATTACTAGACAAGGTGAGCAAATTGAGTATTTTAATTTTACGTTTGTTTCTTTGTTGGCTCAATTTATTCAAAGCCACAAAGCAAATTGATTCATTTCAACTTGAACCCTAATCTCAGTTTATTCAATAAAATAATAAACTTGATGGTTTCCTATTGAAACACAGCCACAACGGTAATAACCAGAATACAGATTAGAGTGAAAACAGATTACATTGAGACTGTTAATTCTGAACAAAGTTAATTTAAATGGACTCAGAAAGGAAACAGATGCACAATCAAAGTTGGAACAGGCAGTGAAACAACAGTGAAATTTACAGGAAGCTGGAGAAAAGTCAGAAACTGAGTAAAACCAATATCAAGAATCAACCAGATAAACAGATTACAGATTGTCCAGTATAAGTCTCGAGTTAATGTAAATTGATTGGAAAGCTTAAATGTTTACATTAAAATGCAGTGGAAATGTTGACATAAACTTTTGCCCACTAAATGTCAAAATTTGCAACTCAACAAATGAACGATGAATGAGAATGTTTTCATCACTTACCGCAATTAGTCAACCTATTAAGCAAAACTTATTCAGCCAATGTCAACACTGATGCAGATTCAGTTTTAATAAACTTGTAAGACTCAAACATCGATTCAAGCTGGAAGAAAACTTTTGAATAACATTTCGCAAAAAGAACTTCAAAAACTATTTTCTCTGAAAACATGGCATAAAACTTTTCTAACAAATCGTGGATTCTAAATGATATATCATTGTTGGAGTATCGAGTCAAGCGACCAAACAGTTTCTATAAGCGTTCTTTCAACGTTCTGTCGTTTTTAAAAGATTCCCTAATTGTCTCTTTACTTTAAAGCATGTAATTAACTGTTAATCACTCGAACGATCCTCTAACTTGTCAACTAGTTTTTGCTTTTTCTCCTTTTATTTTGTACAAAAAGCTAAAGTATGATTGATTTTTCATGTGTTGATATTTTGTCTCAACAATAAATTAATTGTTTGATAAATCCTAAAAACCATGTCAATAGAAGCGATGAAACTTATGATCAAAAAGACTTGTTAAGCTGGAAATTGTTTGAAAAATGAAATTGAATGATTTAAGTCTTTAATGTTGCCAAAACTGAAAAATGTTCAAAGTGGATTGGCCAAACTGCTGAATGACCGTTTACACTCTAAATGTTGTGTTATAAATAATAATTTACGTACCGATAAATTAGGGCAAATGATGTGAAGAAAGTGAAATAAATAGTTGATGGTTTGCTGTTGATGCATGATTATCTCAATGAAAATGGACTGAACAACCACAATGGCCAATGGATAGTCTAAATTTTGTCTCTTTCTTTTTCTTTCGATGCATTTTTTTCTCAACTTTTTTCTTCACCATCTTTTTGCTTTCCTTTTTCCCAACAATTTTGCTTTTTCCTTTTCTTCATACTCTTCTGAATATTCACTTGCCATGGTTATTACCATGCCTCACAATGGTAAAGATGATGATGTAGTAGTAAGAAGATGGTGAAAAAAAGTGTTGTTGTGTCTAAAAGTACAACAAAAAGGAGAAAAGGTTGAAGCTCAAGAATAGAAGAGGAAAAAGGCAAGAAAAACTCTTTTCTCAGGGAAACTTCTTTTTTTTCCTTCTTCTTTTTGTTTGTGTTCAACAACAAATATCGAAAGGTTCATAACCTTGGTGAGGTTAAATGTTGTATGTGTGTTACCCTTAAGCTCTATGACAATACAGGAAATGACTTTTATCCTTTTGATTTGGAATACATTTGGATGAGGAAAAAAAGAAGCACAACTTGAATCATCAGCAAAAATTGAACCGGAATCGAGTCTGATTATTAGAACTTTTCTGTTGACTTTCAACTCTTGCCATCTTATTTGACTGTGCAACTTCATTATCAAATGTTGATGTTTTCAATGAGAAAACATTGTCTCTCAATTGAGCTTCTCAGCGCGACATTTACCTTTTCCCCTGTTTACTCATGAAAAATGCTCAACTTGACAAAATTATTTTTTTGCATTTTCTTCACTTTCTGTTTTTTTCGCTTCTTCTTCTTCTGACAATTTACATTCTTGTGTTCAATTTTTACTTAGTGACAATGCAATTGCAATCGTATTAGGCTCAAGGCTTACCGGAGTCTCTTTGAGACTCTTGATGTAAACTCTTGTTTACCTTGAGGGTGAAAAAGGTTGAATGGAAAAGGACAAAATGGTGAAAAATGTTCATGAAAATTGTTCATTTCATGTTGCCTTCTTCAGAAGAGAAAATGAAATTTAAAATAAGTTGCACTTTTCCATCTTGCAATGTTAATGCTTTTACTTTTCAATAGTAAATAAGTTGTTATGAAAATTGTTTCAACTTGCTCTTCATCTTCATCATTGTCTTATTGCTGCATCAGATTATTTTCATTATTGAACTTTTTTTTCAACTTTTTTACTTTTTCTCTTCTTTTTCACTTTATCATCACAATTTTGTCACTCATTTAGTCAACTTTATTTAGCGTTTTAAGAGTTTTAAAAGTGCAAAAGATTTTAAGTAAAAATGAAACATTTTCTCGAAATTTTGCTTTTCTAAATTCTCTCAACTTTTAAAGGTCAAAGTAATCAACATTAAGAATAAGTTGAATCAATGGAATCTGATTAAATTGGATTTTTCTAAACCCTTTATTCCAATCACTTTTTCATGATGAAAAGGTAAAAACTTTTTTTCTATTAAATTGTAGGTTTTAATTTTTATTCAAAGCTCTTCAGATATGGAAAGGTGTTAAAATAGAAACTGAATTTCCATTGAAATTCAAACTCAATATGAATAATGGTTGAACCATGAGATGACTGGTAATGTTTGCGTGACATTCCATGAGTATCTTGATGAACACCAAATGAACATTCGGTTAGGTGCTATCTAACCTCAGGCAAGTCACGTATGAATGTATTCCTTTGATGATAAAGAAATGCTTAATTTACCATTGTAATGTGTGTTCAAGTTATGATTTACTGTTAATTCATAATCAGTTGAACCAGAAATCCTTTTCCCAAAAAGTCAACTCTTCAAATTGGTTGTGCCAATATTGTTAATTAAAGCTTATTGGACTATCACAGACATTGAGGTTGTACTATTGTTGAGATTATCGAAGGTTGATATTGATCTTAACCATTTACTTTCGAATGCTTTCGATCTTTCAATCAGCTTTTGAACAATATTTACCTTCAACTGTTCATTATGCCATATCATCAGAATTTAACTAAAAAAAGATGTTTTTCCTCTTCAATTTAGTCTTTTTGTTTCTTTTGCCTTCTTTTTTGTTCCAACAAATGAAATGATTACGAGTTGGGAAAAGTGCTGAATCAATGATTGAAACTTTGATGAAAGAAACTTATTGTCAATAAATCAAATTGATATCTTCCACTTCGATTGATATGGATGAGTACGATGAAGCAAAAGTAAACCAAAATTTCATCGAAATTAAACTTCGAATCCTAGTTCGAAAAACTCAACTTTATCCAAACTCGTCTTCACAAACCTTTGCTGCTGAAAACTTTACATTTGGCTGTTATCGAATGTACTTGAACTTAATCACTTTTAGCGTTAAAGTCCAGTTAATTAACTATTCAAGTTGAATAAATGTCAGCTAATTGCTTAGGATAATTGAGTCACTTCATTATTCCATATCGAGTTTAACCGTTGATAGTCATTTGTTGTCTCACATTAAATGCAACTTAAAATTAATGATAAATTGTCTTTAATTTTATCATTAAACTTTTCACCAAAAGCATTACAATTAATTTAATGAGTTATCCATTTTTTCAATTTTTTGCATCAACAACTGGGATGGCACAATTATGTGATAATTAACTTTTAATTGTTTAACATTTAAATTTTTTTCTGCTCTCTTTTAATCTGCTTTGAAAATTTTTGTTGGCAAAGTTTTGGCAAACAAATGGCTAAGTAAATTGCAAAATTGAATCAAATTGTTTCCAATTGATTTATTTGATTCTTGACTTTGCTTCCAATCTTGTTCACCTTCAATTGATAAATGAATTTCTTATGCAAGTTACGGCTCTGGAAAAGGATTTGTGATTTATTCAATTGAACAAATGTCATGTTAACCTGAATATTTTAGCTCATTTATCATTTTGAACTTTTACATCCCACTAAAGGGCTCTGAAAGCAGTTCAAATTAGCCTCATTTCAATGCATGAAGACATTGCTACGATTTACATTGAACGCAAGGTTCAAGTCGAGAACAGACTTAGGCTGAACACGTGCTAATATTGTGCTATCGAACTATCGAGTTCAGACATTAATATTTGTCATGATCGATTTCAAGTCAATCGATTTTTTCCTACTTTCCGATTTCAGCATAACTTATTAATCGACTTTATTAATCGATTGAAAATCAAGATTGAAAGTCAACAGAAAACGAGGAAACGAAATACTGCTATCAGTCAACGTCGATGAAATTTGAAGAATTGACACATTCAATGTTACAAATCGTAAAATAGAATGTTAGAAACAACAAAATTTTATCGAAAAATTTGGTGAAAGCGAAGTTTTAGGTACTTTTATCTATTTTTTGGTCTCAATTTTGCTGAAATGGCTATCAATCCT